GGCAATCTTAATCCCCGGACTTATCTCAAATTAAAACCAGTTTCACTAAGCATTCCCCCATGTGCTTCGAAGTGGAGGACACGTTTCTCCAAAATAAAACTGAGGTGAAACGCAATTCGACCCACAGGGTTGAGTTGCAGATCCGATGTTTTTCAAACAAATATTAATTTTACATTGTATTTTTTCTGGTAAAAAAAACCAGTTTCAGTTACAAAAAAAAAAAAACTAAAACTAGTTTAATTGTACTAATGAGGGGTTGGATAAAGTGGTAAATGGTTTGTTTCAGTTTAAGTAAGATTTCGAGTTCGAAACCTTGTGTATGTAGCAGTTTTCGTTGGGAGACCCACCCACTTGAGTCTAGAGTAGTCGGAGTGAAACCCTAAATACCAAGCAAAAAACCGAAAAAAAAAAAAACCAGTTTAATTGTAGTTTTGGGCCTTTTGGCTGATCATTATTAACAAATTGTTTTCATTTTTTTGACAAGAGAAAAATTGCACTCTTTTTTCCCAAATTAAATCCGACAGAGCAGACTTTCCGTGTCGGCCTTTTCAGCTTTCTCAACGAACATTATGGACACCGAATTCTCGAGATTGTCTCTAGATCTAACGGCCCAGATCCTCCATCACATTCCATCAGACTGAACCGTTGGATCATGATGGTGATTGATGTCAATGGTCAAACACGTCAAACAATGTCTCACGCATGCACTTTCACACGTGAGATTGCGTATCCAGGTGAAGAAATTGACTGTGGGACGACTGGACTGGCGGTGGTACATGGTGTCAGGTGGTGGTGGGGTCTTGTAGGGGTCTGCGGTGGACCGGTGGTGGTGGCTCGTCTCGTGCACGCTGGTGGCTGAGCTCACGGCTCACGTGCAAAAGCATCTTTTTTAATTGGCTTGAGTTTTTGGGTGCACTTTCTCTTCTTTTGAGGTTAGTAAAAGCCTCACCTACAACTTTTGACGTTCTTGTTGAACCTTGACCACGCCAATGGAGTCCTAAATTGGGCTCCTTTTTTGGGTGCATCACACTATTCAAGTGGCCCAATTCTCTTTAATCTTGGGCTTTTCAATGATCATTGTTTCTTCTACTATAAACACGATTACTTTTAAATTGTAGTTTATGTAAGATGGGTTGTAATATAGTATTTTTTTAAATTATATTATTTAGTGTAACTTGTAATTTTTATTTTTGGTAAGGGTAATGATTAAAAGTTAGTATGTTAGAGGTGTTAATAGAGAATATTGAATCCGAGACTTAAGAGTGCAAATTACGGGCTGCCCTTTAAAGCAACAAGTGACCACTAAACCACGCCACCTGAAATGCGTGTAACTTGTAATTTATATGACTAAAATTGTTGTAATACACCAAATCTTGCTTAGGGCCCTTTTCATTAAAATATTCATTTGGGATCCACAAAAAGATTTTTGCATGGATATATAGCAAATCTTGTTACTATACTCTCTAGAAAAAGTTGCACATGAATAGTACTTTACAAAAGTTTGAATAAGCTTTAACATCAAGTGTTTGAAATGATTATATATTAAATTAATGAAAATTGTTGTTATGAAACATTATTTTGGGTCCCCTAAATTCTTGGGGGAAAAAAAAACGTAGGGAAGAAAGGAAAAGGTCAAAGAGCTCAAATTAAATGATGTACTCTTAAAACTAGCCTACACAAGTAGCAAAACATAATCATGATACTGTGTTTTCTTACTCCTTTCTCGTTTTGGACAAGCATCATGTTTCCTTGATTGGATAAACATCATTCCACTTCCCCAAAACACCATTAATTGGATATTGAGCTCAAATAAGTGTTTTTTTTTTTTTTTTAACATAACGTACATCTGGCTATATGGTCAATTTTGAAGAAGAGAAAAATTAACAAATAATACTACACCACATAATTTGACTGCCAAGTAATTATGCTTAAGAGAGCTGAACAACACCACAGTGGCTGCAAAGCACTTTCTCCCCGTCCTCCTCCACCTGCTCAAAGCTTGGCCACGCATTACCGGTCGCCGTTGCGTCGAATATATAAACCATGGACATTGTTTCTAACAATTTTCTTCATCCTATCCCCTCAGAGCATATTTAGAATAGAGGATTGGGTATGATTGGATAAAATATAAATAATAAGATTGGATTGGATAGAATTAGATAGTTTAAGATGTTTGGAGGGTTAGATGATTGGATATAAAAATGTATATCTATTAACAAAAATACCCTTATGCAATGCAATGCTACAAATATTTTTATTGTAAAAAATTTTTATTCAAAATTTGAACTTTTTTATTGTTGACAAAAAAATTGATAATTAATTTATATTCATTAAAAAAAACTATTTTGTTATTATTGAAATTGATTTCATTATTGTTGTTTTCGTTTAAAATGAAAATGAAATTAATTAACTTCGTTAATTAGTTGAACAAATTTCAATTTTATCAATTAAATATTTCCATTTATTTTTTAGGCAACCAAACATGCAAACAATAATTTTCTTGCAAATGAATATTTTTTTGATTTCAAGTTAAAACTGTTTATCTTCTTCAATATAGCACTTATCTAGACCAAATGAAGTGGAAAATGACATGACTTTATTTTCCCTACAACAAATTTGTGAAGCCCCATCAAGTCAAGATGCAGGATTTAACTGGAAAAAGAGAAATAAAGTCGTAAATGGGAGAGGATACTTAGGAGAGAGAGTCACTAGGGATAGAGGAGAATCAGGGAGAGAGAAATCAGCAGTGAGAGAAGAATCACGAGTACCTTTCTATGCAAGAAGAGAATTGGGGAGAGAGTAAGATGCTGTCGGTGAGGAAGGAGAATCAGGGTGGATGCCACCACACCGATGAGGGAGGAGAATCGCGAGAAAGAGCGGTGGAGGAGAAAAAAGGTAGGTTTAGGAAATTCAATCCAATTCATCCTTATCCCATGGGGTTATTGAGATTAAATTTACATGATAAGTATGGGACTGAATAAAGCACTGAATATTGTTTATCCTATCCAAAATACCTTCCAAACTTGAGATTATGTTGGATTGGATAAATTTTATTCGATCCAGCCCTTCATCCGGTGCTCCAAATGAGCCCTTAAAAGAAGTATAAATGCGGTCCAATAGGCGCCATTGTTCCATTTTGTGCCCAATCTTCAGTGTCTTCCCGTGTGGGAATTGAGAATTTGGAACCGAGATCCATCAACTTCGACCCACATATTAAGTTCCCCATCGTAGGCCTCGATGTGGCCTTTCCACGCCTTGAGGCAGTCACCGGAGCTGAACAGCCTACCTTCCATCTCAATAATCTGATTTGGTGGAGCGTCCAATTGCCACATCCCAGCCACGAGGCACCACTCCCCTACCGGCGTGTCAAACACCTCAGCAGCACTCCGCTCTTTCACAAACGTCATCATTGGATCGGATTCCTTTCTTTCCGCAAACCCTCCTACCACGTGGATCTTCCATTGCCACGTCACGCCAACGCATTTGCACCTCATGGTGCTCATTTTAGGCGGCGGTCCACGTGTCAACCACAGGGTCATACAGCTCAGCCGATAAAATTCCCCTCGCACTTGCCAAGTCAGGCTTGCCCCCTGCCACTTAGATTTTATTGTCACAAACAGCACAAGCAAACTCATAGCGCGGTCGGTACCCCCATTGGCGCACATTTGGCCCATTGGCCTAACCGGACATCGTACCGGAGCACCAGTGGCAAGGCCTGAACACTGGAATCGATAAAGTCGTCCGATAAAGTCGTCCGATAAAGTCGTCCGATGTATCGGAATTACATAACATTTCCTCGTCACATAACCGGTCGCCAATTATGTAAACGGACTATCTTAAGGAAGCCATGGCAAAATCCTTTAGGACATGGTCTTCAATTATTCCTGGAATTGGACAAACGTGACTCCATGAGTTGTTAGGGGGATCATAGCACTCCAACCGGTTAGAAACGTCGGTTTCTTTGGGGCAAAAGGAGGCATAGACTCGATAGCCGGAGGGATTGAATTCCCGATATGGAGATGGTACTGTGGCAGTGAGCGAACCCATTGAGGGAGAGGGGGAGGGGTATGTTGCTTCTATGTACGTGCTTATGTCTAGCAGCTAGGAAATGTGATGTAAGGGATTGGAACAAAATATAGGAAAGGGGTAGCGGAGAAAACAACAAAACTATGGGTTGCAAGCATCAACTAAGAATTGGGGATGCAGTAGTAGCTTCTAAGGTATTGCCATGGGGACATAATCTATGGCTTTTCTTGTGGATAGTTAGTCAAAAAAATTAATAGAAGGGTTCCCATCAAATATAATTAATTGAACGTTTTGGTGATTTACGATGATTACGGGTGGGAAAATAAGAAGCGTGCGTTTACCATCATAATTTGAGTACGTATCGAATCAATCAATGAATAAATCTAAAATTATATATATATATATATATATATTAAATCACGAGTTACATTTTCAGGGGTTATATTTAATAGTAGATAAGTGTTAATTTGTAAATTAAGTTCAAAGTTCTTAAAATTAGCACTAAAAAAATTAATTTTTTTAAATGTATTAAGTCTTATGTATAAAAATATATTTAAGATTACTTACAAAATTAATTTTAAAATGTATAAAATATATAATAATTAATTTAAAAATATCATAATTATAATTATTTTTAAAAAAAAATCATATCTTACATATCAATTTCAAACCATTAGTACTAATCAATTGTACTGGTAGAAAAGTAAAAGAAAATGCTTCATGTCGCACGGTAGAAAACTAACTATAAATGTAAAGGAAGAAAGTTTTATATTGAATTGAAGGAGTTTTTTTTTTTTATTAATAATTATAATTGTACTGTGTATTAGATTGGACTATACAACATTTTTCTAAATAGTAAAAAGTATTTGACGCGTGGTGACTTCTTCCAATGAGGCATGCAAGCAGGTAAACAGGGGAGGAGAGGAGGAACAGAACAAGGGCCTTTTTAGGTATTCCAAAAAGAGCATTCGGATTTCGGAAACAAATCCATGTAGGAAATTGGTGCATCTCGAGTCTCACATTTGTGCGGACTTTAACACAACACCAGCAATTTGGGTCTGCTTCTCAAGAAATGTTACCTTTTATTCTTTTCAATAAAGTGCCTACTTTTTACTAATGCATGCTTCTGGGATCTCTTATGATCTAATCTTTCTGTCTGCCTTCTACTTTCCATATGGATTTGGGACATCAGGCTGTCTCCTTGTTCCTTTTAACGTTTTGGGGCAGCGAACAACCATTCAAAGCAGGAAACATGTTTAGGCCTTGACAACAGGTCATGGACTAACCCAACTTCACAATCCATGGGAGAAAAGGCCCAATAGGCAATAGCCCCATACCCCAAGAGCAGTATATATATGTATATATATGTGGTGCATGATAGTTTATTTTTCTAAATTGTTTTTTGAAAAACTTGTCTATAAAAACTTACCATGTTAAATTAGAAGTCCTATTTATGTAAATTACGTATGTTGATTTTTATATTAATTTAACAATTACAATTATTTGATTAAAAAAATTCTATTACTGATACATGTTTAATATTATTAAAATTTTTATAATTAATTTAACAATTAATTTTTAAAAATATTAATTAAAAACAAATTTTTAAATCTCTTCCAAGAAAAAATTTAGGAGGAGGGGTTGCCAAACATTTTTCAACTCTTAGTATTCTTTTACTTACTTTCCGTGATTTTAAATTCAGAATCTTCTCCTTGTTGGAAATAGCTTACAAAATACCTAAAGAAGGTGTGCATGTGCAATGTGAACAGAAGGGCAAAAATGCCTAGTTAAAAGAGAAAACCTGCAAGTGTACACATGAGGGAATACCAATGATAGCAGTATTTTGGTAGAAGCCTAACATGTGACTCCAAAGCCCTACCACATATAGGCACACAATGAATCCGGTGGTCATCCCCATGATTTCTGCACTCACCCTATTCTTAGCTAATGGTTGTATCAGAGAAACGAGGATCCATTTGATGTATGCCACGTGACTGGATCTTGACCCATTTGATAGCTGAATGACTATTGGCTAAGGGGAGGAGGTGCCAAACGTATAGGGAGGATGGGGACTCCACAAGTTACATTCCAGGAAGCAATCAGAGGGAGAGACGGACTGACGGTACCGCAGTGGTAAAGAAAACGCAGAAGGTGGAAAGCTGTGAAATGAGACATACGGAAGGTGGGAATATGAAAAAGTGAAGAAAGTTTAGGGAAGAAGACAAACAGAGAGAAGTAGAAGGGGAGAAAGTAACAATAAAAAGCCTCACAATGGAGACAACCTGATTAGATTTGTCATTGTTGAACCGAATCCCAGATTTTTTTTCACAAAATCCGTTTGAATGAAAACAGATTGAGTGCAACTTTGCAACCAAGCTGCCATTTACGAGAACGTACAAAAA